GGCTATCAAAGGTGAAAGTAGCTCTTATGTGGCTAAAGCTGGCTTGCGTAAGACCTTTGGGTCCAAGCATAAGCGCGGTGGAAATAGGTCTGATGCTCAAATTGGGGCTGGTCATTCTAATTATAACAATCACAAACGGGATAAAAGAGCTGGTAAGAAGAATAAGGCCAACATGGTCTGCTATAAACTACAACAAGAAGGGTCACTTGGCTCGTGAATGCACTGAGCCGAAGAAGGTACTCTCTAGTTTTGTCTCTCGCATTGACTGTTTAGTTACTAGTCAAGTTTTTGTTGCTCACTCTCCTAATTCGTGGATTGTAAACTCAGGAGCAACAGACCACATAACGAAATACAGATTCAGATTTGTGAAGTACCGTCGAGTACCAGCTGGAAGCAAACGAATTTACATGGGGAACGAGACTAGTATAGAAGTGCTTGGGATTGGCATGGCACATACAAACTGGAATTGCGACACGGGCGCACTTTATACCTTCATGATGTATTATATGCTCCAGGAATCCGACGAAATTTGTTGTCAGTTACTAGCTTAATGAAATTAGGTTTTATTTTTCATTTTGAAGGCCAGCATGTTGGCATTTGTAGTGGAACTACATTCTATGGATCCAGTTATATCACATATGGTTTTATTGTATTAGATATTGATCATTCTAGTAATGAAATTTATTTTTATGTTACATCTATGGATAGTGTCGATTCTATTAGATGGCATGCTAGATTAGGTCATATTGGGCAAGATAGAATGAATACATTAGCTAAAGAGGGACTTTTAGGCCCACTCGCTAGAATCAACTTGCCCACATGTGAAAATTGTTTCGCAGGTAAGACAACTAGAAAATCATTTGGTAAGGTCAAAAGAGCATCTATTCCATTGCAATTAATACACTCAGATATATATGCCCCAATGAATGTGTAGGCAAGACATGGTGTATCCTATTTTATCACTTTTATAGATGACTTTACGCGCTTCGGTCATGTCTATTTGATTTCTCACAAGTCTGAAGCATTGGATTGCTTCAAACGTTACATTAAAGAGGTTGAGAATCAATGAGACAATAACATTAATGTTCTTAGAACCGATCGAGGTTGTAAATATCTATCTGAATAGTTTAAAGAGCTGTCTAAAGAAAAAGGATTAATTAGGCAATTGACAATACCTGACATTCCACAACAAAATGGTGTAACAGAGAGACGAAATCGCACCTTACTTGATATGGTTAGGTCTATGATGGCGCAGGCTCATTTTTCGATTTCATATTGGGGAGATGATTTATTGACTGCTGCTTATATCCTTAACCGAGTGCCCTCTAAATCAATTCCTTCTACCCCATATGAGTTATGGACAGACATAAAACCTGACTTAAATAATTTATGGTCATGGGGTTCAGCGGCTTAAGTATACAATACTTCTCATAAATATGGGAAGTTAGGTCCTAGAGGGAAGAAATGTATCTTTATCTGCTATTTTAAGCATTCTAAAGGCTATGTGTTTATAGTTGAACAACTTGATAGAAGGGTAACTAAAATTGAGTCACGGAATACAATTTTCCTTGAAGGGAATTTCCCTAGTAGAGGAGATGTGTCTAAAGGAATAGAACTCTACGAGTTAGATGATCCCCAAAGAGACATACCCACTAACCAAGTAGTGATCGAGAAAATAGTTTTGTCACGTTCTAGGGACATTGAGAGCAATACACTCAATGGTGGATTAGCTCAAATGGATGTAGATCCATACGACACAGAGTTATGTAGAAGCAAGCGTGGAACCATCCCTCGACGTCGTTTTGAGATTGAAGGGGAAGCTTTCATGGTTGCACCATATGATGATGCCGAACCTAAAAAAATTAAAGAGGCTCTATCATCACCTGCTAATAATGAATGGATAGTTGCAATGAATGACGAGATGGAGTCAATGAAGGCTAATCAAGTCTGGGACTTGGTTGACCTTCTGCCTGGGCGCAAGGGTATTGGGAACAAATGGGTTCTCAAAATTAAGCGCAAGGTGAATAGATCCATAGAAAAATATAAGGCTCGCCAAGTGGCAAAAGGTTACACCCAAAGAGAGGGTGTGGACTACGAGGAAACTTTTTCTCCAGTTGTAAGGTTTGCGTCAATTCGCATGATTCTAGCTATTGTTGCACATTTGAATTTAGAACTATATCAAATGGACGTTAAAACTGCATTTCGTAATGGAGAATTGGATGAGGAGATCTACATGGATCAACCTAAGAGCTTCCTGGTGGTGGGTCAGGAGAACAAAGTTTGTAAACTCCAACGATCCATTTATGGCCTAAAGCAGTCATCTAGACAGTGGTATCTAAGGTTTCATCGAGCTATCACTTCTAATGAGTTTACGATGATCGATGAAGACCATTGTGTGTATGTTAAACGATCTAAAGATAGCTTCTTGATTCTATCTTTGTATGTTGACGATATTTTATTAGCTGAAAATAATAAGGAGATGATTATCACTACTCAAAAGTGGTTGTCCTCAACATTTGAGATGAAGGACTTGGTTGAAAGAAGTTATGTGCTCGAAGTTAAGATCTTAAGGGATCGTTCTAAGAAACTTCTTGGTTTGTCTCAAAAGACTTACATTAATAAGGTTCTTGAACGATTCCAGATGCGTAACTGTAAACCCATAGACACACCTGTAGCGAAAGACGAGAGCCTAAGCCTAAAGATGTGCCCTAAATCTCATAAGGAAAAGGAAATGATGGCTCGTGTTCCTTATGTCAGTGTTGTAGGTAGCTTAATGTACACTATGATGTGTACCCGTCCTGATATTTGCTATGCAGTAGGCCTAGTTAGTCGTTTTTAGTCAAATCCTGGAATAGCTCATTGGAAGACAGTCAAAAGGATACTACGATATCTCAAGAGGACTTCAGATTATATATTATGCTGCAGTCTCCAGATTTATAGATGATTGGTTATAGTGATACTGATTGAGGTGGTGATATAGATGAACGCAAGTCCACATCAGGATATGCTTTCTTACTTAATGGTGGGGCCATTACATGGAGTAGTAAAAAACAATCATGCATATCCTTATCCACTATGAAAGCAGAATACGTGACTTTTTCTAGTGTTGTATAAGAAGTTGTTTGGTTAAGAAGGTTTTTTCAACATCTAGGAGTTGTCACACATACCTTGGGCCCAATGATGATTCATTGTAATAGCATGACTGCATTAGCTTATGTTAAGGATCCTAAGTATCATGGAAGAACCAAACATATAGATCTAAGATATCATTACATCAGAGACATGATTGCACAAAAAGAAGTAATCTTGAAATATATACCTACAACTCAGATGGTTGCGGATCCCCTAACTAAGCCTATAGCTAGAGATGTATCTATGGCTCATTTTAGAACTCTAGGACTTCGTAGGTATTGATTATGTGCTAGAGATTGTATGGATCACACAGTCGTTTGTATTGACATTTTTTTTGGGATATTAATACATGGTTTTAATTGCAATTAAATGTTATATTGCTTGATTACCTTGATATTTGAGAAAGCACACACATTAAGTATGTCAGCGGGCGTGATTGGCTCACTCACACAAGCAATCACCTTTGGCGCTGGAAATGGCGAGCAAAGATTAGATACTTTAGCATATAGTATCGCTTTGTTTTGTACACAGAATGAGATCTGACATTTGAGGATCGATAATGGACACAACTCCATGTTCATTATGCCTGTGTTTGTTGATTAGCCAGATGCGAGATCTTAATTTGGCGTCTTTGGAGGGCGAGCAAATAGAGAACTCGGGTTAGATGCTTGTAGAGAGACTAGACTAAGATCTGTACGATGTCTGAGTATGACATACACTCTCATTAGGATCGAGACACTCCACCATAACATGTATTTCATACTACATGTGCTTGACAACAATTAAGGAGGTGAAGAAATGGATCCCTGTTTTCTCACTATGTGAGCCCTCCGAGTCATTTTTACATGACCAGATTATTTTGTTTAACCAAACATTCTATGTACTCTCTGACTTTTGACTATGTCATAATGTGAAAGAATTAATGCTCAGCTACTTTGGCATGTTACCTACGGCTATGAGTGATTCGGCCTTCCGGGACATTGCTAGGAAAACGGTTAATTTTAAACTAAGTGACATAAGGGCGAAAGGAAGACCATTTGGAACATTCCATAATATATTTACTGTCGACAACTTTGGGCGCTAGTTTAGATAGTGACAAAGTATGAATTTATAGGCGATGACTTCGAGGGGTTATGCATGCTCTTATATTGAGAGGGATTATAGATGCGTGAACCGGTGTATTCGAATGAGTCTAGAGTACTTGAGACACCATTTTTCATTTTTTTTAGGGTTGATGTCTCTATGCTGGCTTTGTAGAGTTTCTAGTGTAGAGCTCCCAAATTGCAGGTATGCTCAGCGGTTGCACGACTCATTGGCTTTTATGAATTGATGTTGATGTATATAATAGATTGAGAGAGATGACAGTGTCGTACCCACCATGTGTGAGTGGGAGATGTTAGATATTGGTTGGGTCATAGACCCAAACAGGGGCTCCCATGGTGGGTTGACTCGAATTAAAAGAATGACCAAAGTGTCATGTCTTTTGAAGATATCATTTACCAAGAGGTATCTTTTATTAAAAAGTATCATTCACCCAAAATACATGTCTATTAAATATTAACAGACATGTCCCTATATGAAGTGTCTCTTAATGACATCTGTTGGTTCCCTATATAAACTCAAGTCAATCTAATAGACGAGACATCTAAGATACTTACTCTATTTCTATCTCTCCCTACATAACATTAAAAAGTTTTTGTGCTGTGAAAACTCAGTATTGATTCTTATTTGTGTAACAATATTATACTACGTGAGCAATAAAAAAAAACGTTAATTTGAATTCTAAAATACATGAAACATCTTCAAACAATTTTTAAATTAAAGCGGATAAAATACGCCTTTAATCCTACGTTTCCGCGACATGTCATATGTTTTCCCACATTCAGTTCCCTGGCTTGCCGCCCATCAAAGCCTGTCAGATGCCTCAACCTTTGCTTGACCGAGATGATCAATTCTACCATTATTTTCTTAACTTCGCCTCTAATGTACCCAGATCAAATGGGATTATACTAAACACTTTGAATCACTTGAATCGGGAGCGATCAAAGCTATCAGGGATGGGATTTGTGTTCAGAACATCAAACTCCACCGATTTACTGCATCGGACCACGAATTGCCGACGCCGGTGATCGGAGCAGCATATCAAGAAATTCATCTTCTGATTGTTTGTCATGGCTGAACAATCAGCCAAATCAAAGCGTGGTGTTTCTTTGTTTTGGCAGTAATGGAGCTTTCTCGGCGGAGCAGGTGAGAGAGATAGCCATTGGGTTAGAGAGAAGTGATCGGAAATTCCTGTGGGTGGTGAGAAGTCCACCACCGCCTACAGCTGAACCCAATCTGCAGTTACTACTACCAGAGGGATTTTAGGAGAGGACGAAGGAGAGGGGTCTGGTGGTGAAGTCATGGGTCCCACAAGCTGCTGTACTGAGTCATGACTCGATTGGTGGGTTCGTGACTCACTGCGGGTGGAACGCATTGGTGGAGGCGGTGAGTTCAGGTGTGCCTATGGTGGGTTGGCCTCTCTACGCTGAGCAGGAATTGAATTGCTTGGTTTTGGTGGAGGAAATGAAGCTGGGTATAGCGGTGGATAAGTCAGATGGGTTGGTGACGGCGGAGGAAGTTGAGAGAGTGATCGGAGAGTTGATGAACTCGGCGGAGGGAGAGGCAATGAGGAAGCGGAGTGCGGCGGCGAAAGCCATGGCGTCAGCCGCCTGGGAGGCTTGTGGGTCGTCTCTGAATAATTTTTCCGGCTTGGTGGGTTCGTGGAAGCAGAAGTAAATCAAATTGGATTTCAATTTAAATTGGGGAAAAGGTTGGTGCATGACACCAAAACTACTGCATGAAATGATACTAAATAATTATATAATAAATATTATTTCTACATAATTTGCTAATTAAATGTAACATTGTATTTTGATTGATATTGGATTTGAGCTAATATTAGAATTTAGTGATAATAATTTATTTAATTGATAAATCAGATCATTAAATTAGATTCACTAACATTTCCTCACTTTGTACTCCGATAGATTTAAGTGCATTAAAAGATAAAATTTTTTACATTATCCTCATATCAAAAGTGTTGCTTTTATATTAGTTTTTGTTATTTTTTTTTTCTCAAAAACTACCCCTTTGGAGATGACTGAAAAAATAACATAATAATTATATTACAATAATTTTGATACATTAAGGGTACAATGTAAGAAATTTAATATTTAAAAAAGTATAAAATGAAAATTTTTAAATCTTTCAAGGTATGAAGTGCAATTCTCCCATTTTATACTCATAATTTTTCAGTCAAGAGTAAAGAATCTAAACATGAGGTTATTTAATTTTTTATTTTTATAATTAAAGGTCACAAATAAAATAAAGGGTTAATCCCACTTTTTATCCTAAAAGATACTTTGATTCTCAATTTACACCTTTAATGTTATGAATTAGTAGTAATGTGGATCTAACCTAGACTATCGTTCAGTTTTTCGTTATAAATTTAAACACTTGAGAGTTGAGATGTAAGAGCTTCAGGTATGAGGATGAGGTATGTTCATCGCTGCAGATTTTCGTTTGCGATCAATTTGACACTGTTTTGTGTATTGAAAATAAGGTTTTATTAATCAGATATAAACTATTCATATAATGTGCAAGTTATATGAGGCATTAACAATATGTGAATTTATACATAAGTTTATGCCTAAAACACTCGCAACTCATTTGTTTCAATTAATAATGAAAAACTGAAGGCAGTCTGAGCGAGATCCACATTGTTACTAATTTAAAATATTGAGGGTATATATTAAAATTTTTAATGTTTAAAGGTGCAAATAAAAATTGAAATATCCTTTGAGATATAAAATAAATTAACCCTAAAATAAACGAAGATTTACAATAATAATTCTTTTACTCTTTTAGAATACTAGTGCAAGAGCAAAGAGTTGCTTTGTGATACGATAACCTTATCCTGCAGTGAGAGTCAATAAGATTCATTAGCAAATAATTT